CATGGTCTAAAAAAGCTGCGCCATTTCCTGAGCTGAGGCCCTTGCAGGCAATGAAATGGATCATCTTTGTAAACAAATTGTAAACAAATCCACCACTGCAAGAATATCAATAGCACTTAGTCTTATATACTGCTTTACAGTGCTTTACAGCCCTCTCTACAGAGTCAGCATATTGCCCCCAACAATCTGGGTCCTCATTTTACCCATCTCAGAAGGATGGAAGGCTGAGCCGAACTTGAGCCTGGTGAGATTTGAACTGTCAAATTGCAGGCAGCCGGCAGTCAACAGAAGTAGCCTGCAGCAGGAGTGGGTTCTACTTACCTTTATTACCGGTTTGCAATGGGAGCATGCACATGCGCAGATCACCAAATATGACGTCAGGGCAGGTGGGCGGAGCCTCCCCCCACTTTTACTACCGGTTCTCAAGAACCGAACAGAACCGGGAGCAACCCACCACTGGTCTGCAGTACTGTACACTAACCACTGCACCACCGTGGCTCAGAATTCATTTATTTCCTTAAATTTATTATAGCCACCCATCTTACTTGCAAATTTTTGAGTGGCTTACAAGTTAAAACAGCAAAAAAATCTTGTGTAAATAAAGAAAGCTACAGCAATTAAAACACTACATTAAAAACTTGCTGGCATACCCCTCTACCAGCTGGAGATCAGTAATAAAATCTATTGATAATGTGTCCCAAGGTCACAAAGGTGAATTTGGTTTGCTGCACGCAGCTGGCTTTCGATGGACAGATTTTACCTGTCATCCCATGACGGGATGAAACATAATCCCCAAGATCTGCCCTTATTTTTAGGCACCCAAAGTCTCTAAGGACCTAACGCTGGATTTTAAATAGTCTCCCATAAACCAGCCGTTTATTGTCCTGACACAGTCATAACTATTATTCCCTTTAAGGAAGGGGAAAATATAAACAACCATTGTGAAACAGTTACCCTTCTTCACGCATGAAAGATGATAGTTCATCCTGTGGGGTTTCCTGTAGGTCATTCATATGAGTCCCAGAATAAACAATGTGTTTGTTGCTGCTCTTTAATTTGAGCTAGCAAATTCACAGTTTGTCTCCCTGCCCCCAGCCTTTCTAACTGGCCTAACCTTGATGGAGAGATGAAGTTGTTTAACTGCAGAATTGTGACATTGGGAGCAGTATAAAGAAGGCATGGGCAGGGCATCTGGAAACTTATTCTGGGAGCTTGATATATATAGGAGAAATATAAAAATTAAAATGGGTTAAAAACTGTGCTCACCTGACCTGCCAAGACAAGAGAGTCTGTGCTTTCTGCAGAGTTTCTGTGAGCAGTTTGGTCCTGGAACAGCTGGGATGTCCCTCCTAGAGGGTGCTTCCCAGGGGCGGGTTCCAAATCCTGTCTCTACTGGTTTGCTCATGCACGCGCAGCGCTTCTGGGCATGTGCAGAAGCATCCAAGCGGGTGGGCGGAGCCTCCCGCCACCACTGTTATTGGTTCACCCGATCCTGTGTGACTGGTAGCAACCCACCACTGGTGACTCCATTGTTGTGTAGGAAGCCCCATTCCCTCCTAGAAGAATGAAATATTTTGGGAAATATTAAGAAGTCAAGGTAGAGTATTTCTCCTAAATGAGAAATGGGAAAAATCTTAAAGGAGGCAGAAACCAGCTCCATTTTCCCTGCCCCAAGCAGAAACTGAGGAGGCCAGCTTTTAGAAATGCAGATTTGGTAATCCATTCAGAAAGACTGGGTGAAGACAGAAACTCAGATAAGCAACAAACAAAAGGTTGACAAAATTAGCTCAGACAAACACCTAGGATTTGCATTTCCCCTTTTGCCTATAGAGCCAGCCATGACCCCTACATGACCCCATAGGAATCCAGAAGGTATAAAAACCCACCCACTCTAAACTCCATTTTGTCAGGTGTCCCAGAATCACATGTGGTTCTGCTTCATCAATCATCTTTCCAATCAGCCTCCAGCCTCCATTTTATTTCCAGCGCCTTTCTCCCAGCATGCAACTGGACCTGGAATTTTTCTTCCAACAGTTGGAAAGCCAACTTGATAATAAATAACTCTATGAAAATGCTATGATTTCCTTTGGCTGGATGAAGCAACCTAGAATAAAATACATAAGGAGAGAAATGCAACATTCCCCACCAACTGGAGAGGAATTTGGAGGCAAAATGATCCAACCAGCACATTGGATGCATTGGTTGGTACCACAAATCGGTGGGCAGGTCTGCGGTGCTTGAGAAGTGCCTGTGAAGAGAAACAATGTTTAAACTCCTGCAATGTTGCTTATTCTTGAGTAGTGAATTTTCATCCTTTGTGAATTTTTATCCTTTCTTTAAAAGTTCAGTTGGTAGCTATGTGTGGTCTTCCAAATTAGGGATGAACTTCTGATAGAAATTAGTAAATTCCCAGAAAACTCTTGTACTCTGGTCTCATCTATGAAATTGTTTGTCATCCTTAATTTTGTAAGAGTAGAGAGTTGTATTTTCTGGCCTGAGTCAAAACAAAGAGTAACAGGAATCAACAGGAAAATGTCCTTGCCTGCCTTTGGCAATCTGAATGTTCCATAATGGTCTGAGGCAGTGGTGGGTTTCTACCGGTTCACCCCGGTTCAGGAGAACCGATAGTGGCAGCGGGGGGGCTCTGCCCACCCACTCGGATGTCATCACGGACACTCTGTGCATGTGCAGAAGGTTCTGCACATGCGCAGAAGCGCCACATGTGAGCGAAGCAAGCAAGTTCCAAACTGGTAGAGAAGGTAAGTGGAGCCCACTACTTGTCTGAGGGTCTCTTTTTGGAGCTCTTGTAAAAAGGGCCTGCAAAGTTTCCCAAACCCAAGACGTTCAAGCAATTCAGACAGATGTTTATTATATGGCCAAGTTTATTTTCAAAATATTATTTTAATTTTGTTTTATAGCCCTCCACTATTGCTTCTATATGTAACAGCATTTCATTTAGCCTTCATCTGAAAGGCTGAATGAACCTTTAAAAACCAAACGCACTGGATTATGATCTGAGAAGGGTTTTGATAGTCAAATTAGTAATCAGGTTCTTCAAAATTCGAATCATATGTATTTTCAAAAAAAGGTTTATGTTTTTCAGAAAAATAAGTATATTCTCTTGAATTTCATTTCATATCTCCATGCATCAATAAGCTGTACCTTTTTCATCAAATTAAAAAAAAAAACTTTTAGTAATTTATCCTGTGTACTTTTAATATTTTTTCAGAATTTGTTTCTATTTGTAGGGAGATCATTCCATTTCTATCTCTAATTAGGTACTAATTTTCACAAGAAAAGCGCATTGGTCTGTCCATAAGTTCTTTATAGAACATTGCTTTATCTTCATTTAGGGCATAAATTCCCAATTTTGGAATCTTAACTCCATGCAAATTAACTTCCATCCCAACATACCAGTAACTACCATGCTCATTAGTCAATATGAGTTATAGTTGTAGCTGAGGGTTTATATACAAAGCAACTCCTTTTCTTGTTATTTGTTCCTGCTGTGAAATTCTTCACAATGCTTACAACAGCATTGCTTTGTAAGCAAATTATATCTTGGTTTTTTCCCCCTCCAAATAATTATTTACTTTTCCTCTTCTGAGGTGCACATACTCCATTTATATTCCACTGACACAATTATAATTCATACGCAGGCCAAATATTTAGAAAAGTCAATACCTGCAATACCTAATTATTATTGCTGTGACTTTCCTGTTAAATCTGTAAAGACTTTTGGGTAGTCTCTATCTTTATCTAGCACAGAAACACAATCAAAACCTCTACTAAAATAAAATTGAAAATAAAAATTACTCCTCCAATTGTCCAATTGAAATGGAATCCTTTTCTGTTTAAATCATTCAGAAAATACACTTTTCTCATATACAATATTCTGATTGGAGTTACTTTGAGCACCAGTACATTTGTATTATCAATCTTCAATCTTATATTAAAATGCTGCAGAACTTGGTCTCCTGTTTTCTTCCTGACAAAGTTCCCCAGGATTTATTTATTTATTCAATTTTTATGTGATCCATCTGCCTATAAGGCAACTCTGGGTGGCTTATAGATGTCCTTGGAACTTTTGCAAATGTTGTATTTATTCTATAAACTTCGTCAATTTCTGCACCTGTATGTTCTTCATCCTATTCTTAAAAAATAGATAAATGTCTTCACTAGAATCCACCGAATATCAGAGGATTTGCTCTAAATCTCAAACAAAATTTGTTTTCTCTCAAGATTATGTTATCAGGCATCTCACCTGACAGCATACTACCACTAGTAGAAGTATGTCCTGAAGTCTTCAATGAGTTCAGTATGTTTAGGATTGCAGCCAACATAAAAAACATAAATGTTGTTTTACATCATATTATATTATAGTTAAGGTATTGGAATTCACCCAGAGGGATCCACTTTCAAATTCTGATTTACAAAGCAAATGTGTTGATTTAGAGCCATTCGTTTCCTCTCATCTTGATTACCTCACAGAGTAACTGGGGTGGGGGTGGGGATGAGAAGAATGGAGTGTTTCCTTATGCATGCTTCTAATAGAAGAAAGGTAGTATTTAAATGTAGCAGTACATCTCAGAAACGTTCAGATATGTGGACTTCCTGTGTGCATGTTGGCTGGGGCATTTGGGGCACTGAAATCCACAATCTGAAACACTCATTTAAAGATTAAAATACAAAACTATGACTTTTCAGCAGATGAAGGAACATAAGAAATATTATATACTACCGTAAGTTCCTTTTAGTCTTATTTTGTTTTCATAGCTGCACATTTGTTGTTTGGTGTTGCGTTTGCGTATTGAACTACAGTGGTTTCTGTTTTATGAAATCTTTGTATTTTCTCTCCTCTACCTTCGCTTTTTGACTATGTGAAAAATATCTGAAATTGTGTTTATATATTTAGAACTCAGTATCAAAAAGTTATGCAGTGCCACACCTATATGTCTACATTGCTCATCACTGTGCATCTTATTTTCTTCTCTCTCCAGGTGACTCTGCCAAGGGCATTGATGATTGCTATTCCTCTGGTGACCTGCTTTTATTTGCTAGTAAACGTCAGCTATTTTGCAGCCATGACTTCTGTTGAGTTTCAGACTTCGGGTGCTATTGCCATTACCTGGGGGTGAGCATTGCTAAACACTAAGGCCTTACCAGCCTATTCAACATAGGTGGCTACATTTTCTCTAGCATTCATGTACCTGCCCTCAAAAACACTTTCCATCTCCAACATATGTCATAGCTTCAGCCTTGCAAAACACTGAAAGCCAATAGCATTTATGTACAACTCTTTTGCGGGAGGAAAAGAAAAGGAAAGGAATTACTGAAGTATTGAAGTAATATTCAGTCATATTATCTGAATGGGACATGGAGCTTGAGAAAAATGTTTAGTATTATCATTTCCTCCTCTCCAGTGGTGAAATCCAAATTTTTTTACTACTGGTTCTGTGGGTGTGGCTTGGTGGGCATGATGTGGCTTGATGGACGTGGCTTGGTGGGCGTGGCAGGGGAAGGATACTGCAAAATCTCCATTCCCACCCCACTCCAGGGGAAGGATATTGCAAAATCCCCATTCCCTCCCCACTCCAGGGGAAGGATACTGCAAAATCCCCATTCCCTCCCCACTCCTGGGGGAAGGATATTGCAAAATCTCCATTTCCACCCCACTCTGGGGCCAGCCAGAGGTGGTATTTGCCAGTTCTCCGAACTACTCAAAATTTCCACTGCCGGTATTCCAGAACCTGTCAGAACCTGCTGGATTTCACCTCTGCTCCTCTTCCTTTATGACACAATCTCATTCTAAGTGGCACTGTTTTGTAAGCTACGTTAGTTTGCTGGCCTGGATTAGTGATTGATTTATCTTATGATCCTCTGTGTGTATATGTTCCACTGATGTAGAGTGGGGAACTATTGCCCCTTCATGACTTGTGGACTTCAACTCCCAGAATTCCTGAACTAGCATGGCTGGTTCAGGAATTTTGGGAATTGAAGTCCACAGGTCATAAAAGGACCATAAAAAGACAATAGTTCCCCACCCCTGCACTAATGCATTAATCCCTTATTACTTTACTTCCGTTGTCAGCAACCAGCTCCCTGTGTTCAGAAAGGCACATTATTATTCCTTATGAGTAGTCTGCTCTGTTTGCACAACACTGTGCCCACCTATCTTTCTGAAATTAACAACCAGTGTTTACATTTGAATATAACCTTGCCAGATTTCAGAAATATCTGCTCCAAAAATTGTTATTAATATCATTAATAACAAATATTTCTTCTGTAAAACACATTGAGGAAAAAAAACTGGCATTTTTAATGAAATTAATTGAAGCCCCACTAATTTTAAAGGCATATATTTGTAGTGGTATGATATTTTGCTATGTCTAAGAGAAACGTAAGAGGACTCAGCTTAATGTAAAAGGTAAAGCCTGCTTTATTACAGACTTATATTAGAAACCTAGTTGACAACTATGGTAAATCTGGGAAAATTCTACTTTGATCAAGTACAATATATGAAGCAAAATTTTGGGAGAAAGCTAAAAAGCTAGTTGCCCGTCAGATGAAACAACAAAAAGAATTGAATATTTTCTTTGAAATTAAGGCCAGAGGTAGCCAGTTATTTAGTACAGGTAGTCCTCGACTTACAACAGCTCATTTAGGGACTGTTCAAGGTTACGGCACTGAAAAAAGTAACTTATTATGACCATTTTCACACTTATGACCCCAGCAGCCCCATGGTGACATGATCAAAAGATGAATGCTTGTTAATTGGTTCATATTTATGATGATTGCCATGTCCTGGGGTCAAATTATCCCATTTTGTGACCTTCTGATCAACAAAGTCAATGAAGAAACCAGATTCACTTAACAACCATGTGACTAATTTAACAACTGCAGTGATTCACTTATTAACTGTGGCAAGAAAGGTTGTAAAATGGGACAAAATTCGCTTAACAAATGTCTCACTTAGCAACCTAAATTCTGGGCTCAATTGTGCTTGTAAGTCGAGGACAACTTGTAATATGGAGTATATTAACTATCAGGGTTTTTATTTTTACTATTATGGTCAGTGATACAAATTAGAAGATTTTACAACCAAACAACAACAGATTAATTTGGGTAAACCTATTGAAATGGAAGAGCTTTCCCCAAAACATAAAAATAATTTGGCGCTATCACTGATGCTACAAGAAATTATAAAGAAATTATAAATTATTGTACTCTGACAATAAAGGTTTGAATGAATGAATGATGAATGAATAAAGACAGTTAAATCTATGGCAGTATTCTCTATGGAGACAGCCTTAGGCTCAGATAGATTTTCAATTGGATGGTATAGAACTTTCATAGCTCAATTGGCACTTTTAATTTATTTATCAGATTTATACCCTGGCAAAATCACAAAAGACTCTCAGCAGTTCCCAATACTAACAGAGCACAATAATATTAAACAGTTATCTTAAAATACATTTTAAAAAATCACAACACAATTCATGGTTGCAGACCCCCAAAGCTCCCACCCATTAAACATTTTTTCTAGAAGGTCAAACATCTGGATACAAACAACTGTCCATTCCAGAGGGTCAATCCCATCATTGGGCTAACCTGACTACAACAAAGAACAATCAACAAAGAACAAATATTGCCCACACCCAGACAGCACAAGTGCTTGGAGGTGAACACCAAGTTTAATGGGTGCTGTAGTTTCATCTCCCCCACAACCCAAGTCTTAATCCCAACCTGACCTAAATCTGGCCTACTCAGGGGCCAATATCCCATCCCTCTCCTTCCTCACTCCACTCAGCTGTACTCAGTTGTGGGTTGCCCCCAGTTCGCACTGGTTCTATAGGACCGGTAGTAAAACCAGCAAGAGGCTCCGCCCACCGACCCCGACGTCATCAGAATGCTTCTGTGTATGCGCAGAAGCTTCTGTGCATGCGCGCGCAGCCCTGTTGAGAACTGGTAGTAAAGGTAAGTAGAACCCACCCTGGATATAAGCAATCTGTTCAAGACCATTCACAACAACCCTGCCAAGCAAAGGTGGAGAGAAACTTCTTCCACCATCTACAAATCAGAATCCACAAAATCCGAAACGGACAATACATACTGTAACAATACAAACCACAGCAGAATAATTCCATACAGACACAATGCTCAGAGATATTCCCTTTACCTTGAACATTGCAACCTCTTCTTGGCTAGTACTCTCCCTATTGGCCAGGTGATCCTAACCCCCTCCCCCAGTCTTTCACCTGTCCCAACATAGGTAAACCAAACCAATTAATTCTCTCCCTACAAGCCCAATAAAGCCGCCAAGAAGAATGAGACAAAATATAGACGAGTCCTGCAATTTCACACCAGGCGCTAATGTTGCAAGAGTCCTCTCCAGGGGAAAAATTTGATTAGCCAGAGCCCTGGTTAATATTATTAGAGAGCTCTCAAGAGTCATTCAATCTCACCACATTCCACTCTTCATTTTATGAGACTTATTACCATATTATTACAACCAGGGAAAGACCCCACCAGATGTGCAAGTAATGAGCCAGTATCATTGCTTAACTTAAATGCCAAGATATTAACTATGACATTGGAGAAGAGATTACTGTACAAACACAGTGTCATCTCTAATTTATCCAACTCACTTTATCCAATTCAGTCAGGATTAATAAAAACAAACAGACAGACTGGCATCTATAATACTCATTAGGGATGTACATTTTGGAAATAGCCACAGACAATTGGACTCATCTGTTTTAATTTTGCTGGATATTGAGAAGGCTTTTGGTATGATTCATATTAAATTTCTGGGTTATGAATTTTAAAAAGATTTAGATTTGATTTTCTAAGGATCGGGGAATAGGAGATCAAGAACTCATCAGACCGTGCAATAATATTACAAGTAGGGATTCTTCCTTATCTATGGACAAGCACAGCAGACTTTTTAAAGTCATAGTTTTCCTTAATCAAGGAAGAATTTAATTTTACGCACAAGGTGAGAAGCTGCTCGACAATCAGATCTTTTGCTGTCAGGTCTCAGTTTTGATAGTTTGACACACACACCATTCGGCAACAGCACTTTTGCATGCTGTCTATCCAGAAGATTGAAAAAAACTAAGCAATTATAGATTCAGCTAAGAGCTAGAACATATACAGGTAGTCCTTGACTTACAACAGTTCCTTTAGTGACCATTCAAAGTTACAACGGCACTAAAAAAAAGTGACTTATGGCCATTTTTCACACCTATGACCACTGCAACATCTCCATGGTCACATGATTTACATTCAGACATTTGCCAACTGTTCATATTTATAACAGTTGCACTGTCCCGGGCTCATGTGATCACCTTTTACGACCTTCTGACAAGCAAAGTCAATGGGGAAGCCAGATCCACTTAACAACCATGTTACTAATTTAACACGTGCAGTGATTCACTTAACAAATGTGGAAAGGAAAAGTCATAAAATGGGGCAAAACTTACTTTAAAATTTTTTCACTTAACAACATAAATTCTGGGCTCCATTGTGGTCATAAGTCAGGGACTACCTGTATGTACTATGTCTAATGAATTAACGTAGAGCTTTCAAACCTGGGCTGCAAAAATCCCTGCAATTTCCTAAATGTCATCAAAGACAGCAAGATGATTCTCTTGGCTACTAGTGGTCTTTTGTGTTTATGCAGTTGAGATTTGATAGACCTTGTTAATGGAACCATATAAATCCTCTTGTTCTGAGGCAAGGATATCCTTTTTGAAATCTTCCCTTCCAAATCTTCTTGATTGGACTGATGGAAGTTATACTTCAAAATAATCGAGGGGGCACATATTTCTCTCTTGCACTTCAAGCAGTGTTTTAATTATGCTCTGAAGCTTGTATCTATACTGTTAAATATATTTCTTCCAAAAGTGGCATAACCACCAATTCTGGTTAACTGTGAAACCAATGTTTTAATATACTTTAACATTTTTAATTAGTGTTTATTGAAAGTGATAGCTACTATCAGTAGTGGGTTCCACTTCCCTTCGCTACCGGTTCGGAATAGGGAGCGCATGCGTGCGCGCAATTGCTTTGCTTGCATGCAATGCTTTTGCTCATGTGCAGAACCTTCTGCGTATGCGCAGAGCGTCCATGATGATGTCCGGGTGGGTGGGCGGAGCCTCCCGCTGCCACCACTACCAGTTTGCCTGAACCGGGGTGAACCGGTAGAAACCCACCACTGGCTACTATTGATTTGGAACATGGAGACTTACAGTATGGAAAAGCCATACAATTTGACTAAAAAGTGATGAAGAACAGAGTTACCTGGCATACAGATTTCTTTCAACCAACGTATTACAAAAGTCAAGTCAAAATTAGACGACTAATTAGACAATTAGTTAAATTAAATTAAAATTAAATTAAATTAATTAAATTAATTTTAAATAATTTAAAAAATTAAACAACTTAGAACTTCGACGTCTTCGGTCCGATCTAAGCGTAGTACATAAAATTATCTGCTACAATGTCCTACCTGTCAATGAATACTTCAGCGTCAACCAAAACAATACACGATCACACAATAGATATAAACTTATGGTAAACCGATCCAAACTTGATTGCAGAAAATACAACTTCAGCAACAGAGTGGTCAATGCCTGGAATGCACTACCTGACTCTGAAGTTTCTTCCCCAAACCCCTAAAACTTTAACCTTAGACTGTCTACTGTCGACCTCACCCCATTCCCAAGAGGTCTTTAAGGAGCGTGCCTATCGTCCCTGTCCTAATTTTCCCTTTTATTCGTACCCATTTCATGTATTCATAGTCATGTTTACACTTATATTGTTATTTAATACATGCTTGACAAAACAAACAAACAAACTGGGGAAAAATGTAAACTTACAGATGAAATCTGAGCTTGAGTTGAGATCTGCTTGGTCCTTAACCAACACTCTAGCCCAGTGATGGTGAACCTTTTTGGCACCGAAAGGTCACGCGGAAGCATCGCTCACACACATGCACCCTTGTCAGGCTGCGCTCCAGAAAAGCTGAACTTCTGGGTTCTAGCACACATGCACACCTGACAATCAGCTGGCTGACACGCATGCGCAGTCCAGTTTCCGGCACTGCAGTGCACACGAAGGGATCACACTCCGGAAAGGCCAAACTTCTGGATTCTGGCGCACATACGCACCTGACAATCAGCTAGCCGGTGCGCACACACGAACCAGTTTTTGGCACTGCCGCACACACGAAGGACAGCTGATTGTTGCATGTGCATGCGTGCCAGAAACCTGGAAGACAAACAGGCAAGGCTATGCGTGCCGGGCGACATGACTTCACATGCCACTTCAGGCACGCGTGCCCTAGGTTCGCCATCACGGCTCTAGCCAATCCACTATGGCTCCTTTTTGGTAATATTTTATTTTATTTCCCTCTCAAGAAATAAAGTCCTGGGCAACTGGGTATGGCTGATGTCCCTGGCAGTTGCCCTTTCTTGCTTTGGATCGGTTAATGGAACGTTCTTCTGCGGAAGCCGGGTGTGCTACATTGCAGCAAGAGAAGGCCATATGGTAAGGACTGTGAACATACTGCTTTTTCCATTATATTCATGGATCTATTATTATTTAATCAATCATTTTCATGCTAGAATCTTTTACTGTTATTTCATGTCCCCCTTGGCTCCTTTGTGGTTTTGTAGGGCTGTCTTCTAGTCAGCAGTTGCATATTGTTAGGGGTGTGCAATCCATAGGACAATATATAAATAAAATAAAATGCACTGGCAAGATCGGAGAATGAAAGACACAGTGCTTCACATGCCATAAATTGCTTATATAACTTACATTCTCTATTAAAGTTTGACACTTTTAATTACCTGTAACTCACTTGAGCCAATTTGACAATTTAAATTCTGTAATTTGAACCAACTAAACCTAATGGTCCTGAACTCATTTAAAACTAAGACTGTTTACTTAGCTGTCAGCTACATTGGGCTACTGGATTTTTGAAAATACATAAAATTGAATCCAGATTTAGGATGTAATCCTATACTTATGTACCCAGAAGTTAAATCCAATTAAACTATTTTTTGAGCAGGCATGTGCATCAGTGTATAAATTAATTGTATGTAAAACTTATTGGAATTAATAGAGCAAGATAGTTACTACTAGTAGTTATCCTTTATCTTAATGGGAATTGAGAACAATATATTTACTTTGGCTCTAATGGCTTGAGTTTTAATCTATCTGTATATAGATAACACTAAAGAATCAACGAAAAACAAGTGAGGCTTCTGGGAATTTGTTGTAACTTTCTGATCACAATCCTGCACACCTCTCTTATTTAATGAAAAATGGATATTAATTTTTATCAGCAGAAGCCACACACGCAATTCTTCTATATGTTAATAGCATGCATTACCCTCCTACACAAGATTGTAGCAGAAACGCAATTGCAATTATTATTAAATTCAGTCATGAATAAATGTTATAATACTGAGCTATAAATCAATTATTTTGTGATTGATACCCACGTTTTATCAATCTGACGATTATTCTCCCCCTCCCTTCTCTACTCTAGAGTAGCTTATAAAATTCTAGCTCTGGAGTCCAACAGCTGGTTGGGAACAATGAAAATAGCTATAATTTAATTTAATTTAATTTAATTAATTAAATTTATATGCCGCCCCTCTCTGAAGACTCAGGGCGGCTCACAATACATTTTAAAAAATAATTATAAAAAAACATTGAAAAATTACAAACATTAAAATCATTAAAAACTCATTCACGGCATTCATGGCTGGATCTCGCCAGATCACAAGAGCGAGATCAACGGCCCCAAGCCTGCCAGAAAAGCCAGGTCTTCACCGCTTTTCAGAAGGCCAATAGGGTGGGGATGGTCCGGACCTCAGGAGGTAATTGGTTCCAGAGAGCTGGGGAGCCACAGAAAAGGCCCTCCCCTGCGGGCCTGCCAGACGGCATTGTTTAGTTGACGATATGGAGGTATCAGCTTGGGCCTGATTGGTTTATATTCTGCCAGAAGAGCTATGAATTTTGTACTTCCTAACACTACAGGAACTTAGTGTGCAAGTACTCAACAAGAGGAAAGCAGAAGGGTATTCTGTCTTGAATAAAACTATAGAGAGGCTTCCTACCAGAGGTGCTATTCAGCAAGTTCTGACAGGTTCTGGAGAACCAGTAGCAGAAATTTTGAGTAGTTTGGAGAACCGGCAAATACTACCTCTGGCTGGCCCTAGAGTGGGGTGGGAATGGAGATTTTGCAGTATCCTTCCCCTGCCACGCCCACCAAGCCACGTCCACAGAACCGGTAGTAAAAAAATTTGAATTCCATCACTGCTTCCTACCCTGATGTCCCCCTGAAAACCAGTAGGCTCTAATTCAAGTGGGTTTAGTAGTTCAAAGATACAATGTTCTAGAGAAATTAACATGCAAAAAATAAGTTTGGTGGGCTTCCGACAGAGAGAGATCATTACGGCTGTGAAATTCCAAATGACATGAGTGCCGTACGACAGAATTTACTGTGGTTCATGACCTCGCAGCATAACCACCTGTTCATTCATTTACTCATTAAAACATTGGAGTGTTGGACAGAGGGTGAAGGAGCAAAGCAAACCTCAGTCTTTTGTTTTCATGTCTTCCTTTTCAGCCTGACTTCCTATCTATGGTTCATATACGTTATTTTACACCTTTTCCTGCTCTCATATTTACTTGTGTGGTGTCGATAATAATGGTAATACCTGCAAGTTTCAACAAGATAGTGAACCTTTTCAGGTGGGTATTTCTAGCTACTCACAATTACTCAATGAAATTGATCTCTCAGCCTCTTTTTGATTATTTTTATATTATGAAAGTGATATTGCCTAGACTTCAGAGAGAAAAAGAGGACATGGTATAATTTATTTAGTTCTTTGTGTTACTTAATTATTTCTTTTATCCAAACTTTTTCATCCTGCTTGCCATGCAATACATCTCTACGCTGGGCACAGCATTTTAAATAAAGGCAATACAACAGTGGAGGTGTACAAAAGATTTTGAATGACCATTATAAAAACACCACTATTTTATTTGTAAAACAATATCAAAATTGAAGTAGAATTAATTTTTAGCATCTTCATGGCTGGTCAGATGTAGTTGTGTTTGTAGCATTCACCTGAACTCTAGCACACTTCATTTGGAGGGGAGGTCCTTTTAGAAAATTAGCTTAAAACCATAAAAGCTCTCTTCTTAGGTGTCCTCCATTCTTTTGTCACTTTTTTTTAAAAAAAAGTTTTATTGGATTTTTTTAAAAAATATACATCAATATCAATACATTCTGTTCGTGTGGCCTCTGGGTATAACTCATTTTGATACAAGCAGCAATAATAGTAGTAATAATAGTTGTTGCATTAATCAAATTTATGTAATCCTAGTATTGATATACATGATTGTTTTTTTAGAGTAGTTATTCAACATTTCAATGCCATTTTAATGCCAATGATATTATTAAGCATACATAGTAATGCCATCTTTCAACCTCAATCTGTCCATCTAATTATTAGTTATATTCTATTATATAAAAATTATATCTGCTAATATTCCCCCTATTTCTTATTTCTACCTCTATTCTAACTTCTAATCAGGCCACCATCACTAATCCTAGTGTTAATACACTTGTTTATATTAAGACATAGTCCTTCATTATTTGGTTATTTATTTTCCTCCATTTTTTCTACTGTCTCCTCTCTTTCCTGGGCTCTTTGATCTTCATTCATTATCAGTTGTAGCATATTTTCTATTTTCCCATTTATGTCTTGCATTAGGTTCTTTATCACTCTGTGATTTTTTGTCATAGTATCCCTAATGCTTTGAAACATCAGTGCCATTTCTCTTGAAATCTCACTCATTTCCTCCTGATGGAACATCTTATTTTAATAAGTCCCACTTTTATTCAAAAACAATATTTTCAAATCCAATGTTGCTCCTCAGAAAGTTCAATAATCATAGTTCTTTATATCTCAGGATTATTAATCAGTTCCATTTAAGTAGTCCAGGCAACCACCACAAATCAAGAGTCACTTTACTTTACTTAAGAGTCTTCCTTATTCTCACAACAGAGTCTACGGTAATCATAAAGTGGATAGTTATAGAACAGTAAGTATTACCACAGTCCTCCAGATGAATGTTGTTTATTTCTCTTAAGAATTTTCCTAGTCTTGTAGGGGTATGGTATATTTTCCATTCACCAGTAGATGGCGCCCTCAGCTTAGGTTTCAGCATTGTTTCAGTTCTGATGAATTGATTAATCCAAATTTAGTTCAATTTATGGAAGCAAAATCGGCTATTCAAGTAAATTCAAATAGATAGTTCCAGCATTTTATAATGCCTTTCCAAAACAATGCCTACCCAGTTTAAGAATCCAATTTTCTATGTTTTAAAAGGTCTTTAGCTTTTCTCCCCTTAGTTCCTTTCTTTCGGGTCTAGGATTTTTCTCTCTATGGTAGTTTGCCACTTTACAAAATAGTTCTAAGAGTCTCTTTTCCTGGATTTTCCCCTTTCTTTTTTCTTTAAAGTTAGGGTCTAAATAAAAATAAAAAGCAGATTAACATCTGCTGTTTGCAATTACTGCAAGTTCAAATCTCACCAAGCTCAAGGTTGACTCAGCCTTCCATCCTTTCAAAGGTAGGTGAAATGAGGACCCAGATTGTGGGGGCAATAAGCTGACTTTATATAAATATACAATATACAAAAGAATGAAGGCTATTGCTTAATGCATTGTAAGTCGCCCTGAGTCTCCGGAGATGGGCGGCATATAAATTAAAGCAAAAAAAAAAAGGAATCTTCTCACCCAGCTCCAATCACTGTTCATCTGCACCGTTCCTGCACATTTCTTTATTGTCTCAGCTGTCCCAGCTTCATGGCAGCCATGATGGCTGCCTCTTCTCCTCGTCTCGAGGGAGAGGGAAAAGCCCTGAGTCCAGCAGGAGAGTTGCTGCTCTCCCTGAACTACAGGGCGCCCCTTTTTTCTTCACCACCCCTACAGGGTGGCTTTAGCTCCTTTTGGAGCCCTCCAACAGGGAGAACTTGGCATGGGAGCGCGGAGACCCACTCCTCATGTCTGATATCACCACATCAGCCGTCAAGTCACTTCTAAGGTGACCTCAAATAATGACCTTCAGTATGTGCTACCATTAGGATCATAGTCAACAAAGAAAACTCTGTGGAAGAAGGTGCTTTTTCAGCATTCTAGTCTGCTTTGAGTTTTATAAGTTAATACCAAAATCTTAACCTTAGTCCCATAGTAAATCAATAAGCAATGCAATTGCTATAACTGTATATACTGCAGTGGCCAGGTTCACTGTTACTGACTACCCACATCATTTATCATCCAAACCAGGATGTATGGTCAGCCAAGAGAAAGGGGGCAGGAAGAAAGGAAAAAGCTGGCTGCTAGACTGCCATGGAGAAGAAGTCAGTCATAGCCTGTGGACCTCAAAAGGGAGGTGTACCACACATAGGCAGAGGTTAATCAGATGAAACCCTGGAACAATAGGCATAAACCAGAATGAATGGCCAACGTAATTATATAGTATTTATGTTTTGAACTGTAGCTTCCAGTCCAGACAGATGGGCAGTTCTATTTAGAGTACCTTTCAATAATCAAACTATGCAGTTCTCAGTTCATGTGTCATACTGACTACGTTATTTCCTATCTAAGAGTAGCTATTGCATTTGTATTTCTTTATAGCTCTTGTATCATTAAAATATGTCCTTTATTGCTTCAGTCACTTGTGCCTTGTGACTATAATATTTTTTAAAATATTCCAGGGTATGTAGCTGCAACTCTCCAGGATAACCAAGTTGCCAATTTCCCCAGAAAGGAACTCATTTACCTACTGGATCTTCACTTTAACATGCTTCAGAGTCTTACATCTAGGACAGTGATGGCTAACCTTTTCCGGACCGAGTGCCCAAAGCGTGCCTGAACCCCACAAATGCAATGCGCCCCTGTGCATGCCCCCCACCCCCACACATGCACGGCAGAGACCCAAAGACCAGCTGGCCAGTGGGAGGCGCACACGCATGCGTAGCAGAACTAAACTGGGGCAACAGCTTGCGTGCCATCAGAGAGGGCACTGCATGCCACCTCTGGCACACATGCCATAGGTTTGCCATCATGGATCTAGCGATTACTTTCCCCAATTTAGGTATAAAAGAGAAGCAGAGCTGGGTATTATCAGAGTATGGATATCAAATCTCCTGACTTAGGCCTTCTGTGCATGCACAGAGGATCAAAAACGGGACGTGATGACATCCGGGCGGGTAGGCAGAGCCTCCCACTGCTAGCGCTACCGGATTGCATGATCCGGATAGAGCTGGCTGAATTTCACCACTGATATTGCCCAGGATTAAGCAATGGCATTCCAAATAAGTGCAAAAATATTATGTTTATGTGACGTCACTGTTCATGCTGCAAATTGACAAATTTATTCATTTATTTATTCAATTTCTATATCTGCCCATCTCTGTCAATGACTCTGGCCACCTTACAGTTATGTTATTTGTGTTATTTGCGTGACTCTATTTGCCTCTCCTCTATGGATGCCCATAAATTAGGCTCCTAGATGAAAATAGAGATAATAATGTACTTCAACATCTATGGTTAACTGGAGATGTATTGTCAAACTGTGGAAAATGAATGAGACCTTTAGTATTATATTATGTATATTCTTCTGATATTTAAGTAATATGTGTATATGTGGGGGGTTGTATCTGGGTGTGCATTTTTAATAGCAGCAGAAATTGCATGATCGCACATGGAAGGGCTACTACTAAATGTTACTTTATATAGCTTTACAGCTTGGATTTTCAATGGGATAAGTGTTGCAAGTCTCCTGTATTTAAAGATTAAGAAACCAGAACTCCCAAGATCTTACAAGGTTAGTATTGTATAAAAACGCTAAAATCCTTTTTTCTCTTCATTTCCCTTTTTTTTTCTTTAGTTGTACAAGACAATGGTCATAATCTGAATTTGCTTCCTCCCACCCCAAACTGATATCCTGTAGATAGGTAGGATTACAAATGTTCTATTAACTTTCTACAAACATGTAGGAGTTGTAGTTCTACAGATCTGAATACCAAACTGGGAAAGACTATTATATTTTCCGGCCGTCCATAATTTCCTGGCTACCTCTTGTCCTGTTCTGTATTCAGGGTTGACCAGGGGTAGGCTGCTGGGGGTTTGCAGGGGTTCGGGAGAACCTCTAGTTAAGATTCTGTGCAGTTTGGAGAACCCCCAAATCCCACTCCTGGCTGGCCCCACCCACCCCACTCCACCCCTCCCAGGAGTCCCCATGTGGCCCATTTTGGATGCAGGTAAGTGCAGGGTGCTTGGGGAGGGCAAAAAACGGGCCTACCGGAAGTTCAGGAAGGCCACAAATGGGCCTTCCAGAGCCTGCAGAGGCCATTTTTCACCCTCCTGGAGGCTCCAGGAAAGCCTCCGGAGTCCAGGGAGAGCAAAAATGCCCCTCCCCCCCGCTGTGGTGTAGGAGGCTGACTAGAGACTGGTCATCTGACCTGATAGCCATGATGTATCAACCATTAGATATGATTAGGCAGGTTTTGTGAAGAGGAACGCCTTTACTGGGAGAAGATCAGAGGTGGGTTTCAGCAGGTTCTGACCAGTTCTGGAGAACCGGTAGTGGAAATTTTGAGTAGTTCGGAGAATTGGTAGTAAAAATTCTGACTGGCCCCTCACCCATCTATTCTTTGCCTCCCAAGTCCCAGCTGATCAGAAGGAAATGGGGATTTTGCAGTATCCTTCCCCTGGAGTTGGGTGGGAATGGAGATTTTACAGTATTCTTCCCCTGCCACACCCACCAAACCATGCCCACCAAGACATGCCATGCCCACTAAGCCACACCCACAGAACCGGTAGTAAAAATTTTTGAGACCCACCACTGGAGAGGATGGTGGTTAGGGAAATTTAGATTAGGACCAAAGCAGGGTGAAAGAGGAATTTAACCCCCTTCTCATATTGTTTAACGCATTGTAAGCCACCCTGAGTCTCCGGAAAAGGGCGGCATATAAATCGAACCAATAAATAAATAAATAAATATTGTACACTGGATTAAACTGTTGAGTAACTGTGAACTATTTCACGGGATGAAATACATACTGTAAATTTGATATGGATTAATGATAGTGAGATTCATCCCTTTGAATATATATAGGTAGTCCTCATTTAGTACTCATATTTGGGAGTAGCAACTTAGTTTTTAAGTGTAGTTGTCCCTAAGTGAAACTATGACTGTGCTTATGATCTTACTTCAGCTTTCCTTTGCTTTACTGACCTGCAAAGGTTCTAAATGTGAGAATTGGTCACAAAGATACTTTTTTTATCATTGTTGTAACTGTGAATGGTTGCTAAACAAGGCGGTCACTAAACAAGGGCTACCTCGCTAATTCTTTAAAATCATCATTAATTGTCAGTTTCCTTGCAATCATGTGACCCAGTGCAGATATTCTCATCCAAAATTTATCTGAAGGCACTTCCTGTTTCATATCATCAAAACGCTGCTCTAATTGGGCTAATTTGGATAGTAGGAGGGCAGTTTTTAAGAACCTAGGGATACCGTCCAGCTTATAAGACAAATTCCAGGCAACGTGTGTTATTTTTGTGCATTTTAGGATCCCAATATATCTCAGAAAAAGTTGTTTAAAATCTAACTTGGTTATTTTTTCCCCATTCACTTGTCTGAAGGATCATTGAAAAATAAAACAGGGAATACATGCTGTTCTATACTACATAAATCCAAAGATCCCATAAAATACAAGAAATTGAAATATAAGAAATGTTAGCTTTGTAATAAAGTATACCAAACTACATAAATAACAACTGGGAGTATAAAAGATGGCAACTTATAATAGGCAAGCTGGTGCCATCCAATGTTTCATTTCTTCTCAGCTTCAGCCACTGGCAGAAAACTATAGGATTTACAGTCAGTACTATTTGGAAAACTTTCACCTTTTGGGGAAAACCATTAGTATAAGAACCTTCCTACCATCTTTTAGCTGTTATTCTTGGCAAAAATCAATTTTTATTTTTTGACTTATTTTTAATTGTTTCTGCTGCTCTTGAAGCTTGAGGAACAAGATAAAGAGACTAGAGTGTTCGTTTGTTTTTGTTTTTAAAAGCCTCTTGGTTTAGAACTTTATCTCACTCAAACTGTGCTTTTTCTATTTCTGTCTCCATTGTTGAATACCTTGTAGCTGAAATAGCATCATTCATATCCAAGAGGGAGACATTAGCAGGCTTGGGGACATTCCAAAATTCACAGGAGTGCCAGAAAATTTAAAAGAGAAGAATAAGAATGGTGGGAGGGGCAGAACATCCAACATTAGTTCAACAGAGACTGAGTTTGTTCTGTGGCTATGCCATGTAGGTTGATTATTGGAGGACACCTGGAAAATTTAAGGAGCATCCTTCAAACAATCATGGCTAGTTGGTTGATGAGATACCTTGATCAGGGGTGAAATGCTCCCGGTTCGGACTGGATCGCCCGATCTGGTAGCGATGGCGGCAGGTGGTTCGGAGAACTGGTAACAAAAATCCCTGCCCACCCCCACCCCCATGCCCAGCTGAGCCGCACAATCATCAGAAGCTTTTTTTTTTACTTTTAAAAGCATTTTTTCTACAACCTCTTCAGCAGAAAAAATGCTTTTAAAAATTAAAAAAAAAAAAAAAGCCTCTGATGATCGTGCGGCTCAGCTGGGATCGTCAGAGACTTTTAAAAGCATTTTTTTCTGCAACCTCTTCAACTGAAGAGGTTGTAGAAAAAAAATACCTTTAAAAGCCTCTGACGATCCCAGCTGTGTTACCTGGTCATCAGAGGCTTTTAAAAGCATTTTTTTCCTGCAATCTCTTAAGGTTGTAGAAAAAATGCTTTTAAAAGTAAAAAAAAAAGTTGGCCACGCCCACCCAGTCATATTACCCCCACCCCCACCAAGCCACGCCCACAGAACCAATAGTAACAAATTTTACATTTCACCACTGACCTGTATAATATGACTTTTGTTACGAGGTACTTCTTATTTCATCTACTGTGAACAATGAAGCTGTGCTTCTTTTCACACTGAGTATGAGATGCTAATGATGGCATCTTTGTCAAATGCCACCATTATCTTTCCTGGAAAACTTACCCAAACAAATTATACAATGACCATAAACGTGTTTGAAATAAATAAATAAATGTATCTTCTTATTCCAGGTACCAATCATCATACCAATCATTTTTCTGATGATATCGATCTACCTGGTACTGACACCCATCATTGACCAGCCACAGCTCGAGTTCTTCTATGTTATATTGTTCATCCTCAGTGGTATCATATTTTACTTCCCCTTGGTTCATTACAAGTATTGCCCTGCATGCCTACGGAAATTAACTATTTATATGCAGCTGTTAATGGAAGTTGCAGCAACTGAAAAGGACACAAAGTGAATTAATATTCATAAAGGTTTTTTTTGACAAATGTCAAAAGAGAGGTTTTAAAAAAAACCAATAGATTTTTAGATTGCTTTCTTTTCTACAAGAAATAATATTGCATTTATGTTCCTGGAGATGCAGTGAAACTACCGCTTTATTTAAACATTCCATCTTGTTCCATTTTGGTAAGAACCGGCTACATTCATTAACTCTGCTTGAGATTTATTTCAATCACATGGGAATTGCCTTTGGTCAGACAAAATGAGCACAATATCAATTGACATATTGTTCAGCATTGGAACGCAAATATATGAGTCCAACTATTTAGCAGTTTGCAACATTAATTAATATAACTAAAGCATGGATGATTGTAATGAATCATGGTTTCCATTTATTAATATATGTCCGCAAGTATGTATTTTTATGGTTTTGCTTCCTTTTTAAAAAGTTTTTTCTTCTTTTATAATTTTGTGTATTTTTTGTCCTTTTTTTTGTCTTTAGCTAATAATAGTAAATTAAAAACCACTGTTGTTCTTGCCTTCATCTTCCTCAAAACAGAGAATTATGGATGAATTAGTCAGTAATTCTTCAAAACAGACAATAGGGAGAACTAAAGTAATCCTTGCTCTTTTCCATCCATCTTTTGGTTCCTTTTGCACTGGTTTCCTTAGCAACTTCAAAACAATGAGATTGGTACCTGTGGGGAGGGACTTTAAAAACACCCCTCTACTAATTTAAAAAGTAGAACAAAATAGCTGTATGGTCCTTTGATCTTGACAAGGAGTTCATTTTTACTGTAAATCTATAGTAACAGAATCTTGCAAGTCTGAATGTGCTTCCTCTCTCCCTCCCTTTATCTTTGTGTGAACTGGGAACCCAGAGATTTAATTCTTCTGGTAACTTTAAGTATTTTGAAAGTAATTTTTTCAAACACCTAGAGTGAATGTTATCTATAAATATACTGTAAATATGACCACTGACATTCAACAAAGCTCTAATCCAGGAAGAAGTTTATATAGTGCTAGCTGAAATCCAGGATCAGGGAGGGATTTGTAATAAAATATAACTGTGCTGTATTTTTCTATTAAGGAAGATTAATATATCGCCATAGAAATGGGATTTCTTCAATCTCTTCAAGAGCTTGGAGCATTTTATACAAAAATAATGAACATTTAAAATATTTATATAAGAAAGAGTACATAAGAGTCAATTAAAAATAATGTTTTAAATGGATATTAGCAATAGAGGATTTTGAATGAATTTATGACAGCTCACATGCCGATTTCAGATGGGAGATGGAAAATTTTGAACTAGAAACCAGATAAGTTCTAGAACACTGTATCCTATTTATATTCCCCTTCAGTATCAAATATAACAATCCCAAACAGCTTGCAATGGCACAATCCATTTTTAAAAAATGGGCTGCTTGTGGATAATATGCTAAAATATTACTTAGTCAAGTGTCTCAAATTTTCCAAAATCTTATGAAGATTTTTTTTCCACTCAATAAATTTTTCCCCAGGTTCACAACATATTGATTCATGATGTAGTGATAGTTGACCAAAGCCATTGCTGATGGAAAGCTTTGACACTCTCTGGCACCCAAAAATCACAAGAAGTCCGATAGTACCTTTTCAGACTAACACATGTTAATGACAGGCATAAGTTCCCATGAACGACAACTCACTTCATGCAATGGAGCAACCAGCCTGATGTAGAATTTAAATTGAAATGTGACCGGAAAGGAAGGGAAGACAAGGTGTTATGCATGAGAGAGATTATAAGTAGTTTACCTGTTAAAAAACTTGCACTAATGGGTTAAATAGCCATTGTCTTTGTTCAGACTTCCGGAGATTATTTTGATGCACATATGTTCCGCAATCTCTTGCTCAACTGCGCTAGCAGAATTAGTGAGAATAAGCTTCACATGGCTCTGTATGTAAATATACTGTAGGCCTACCATTCAAGAGTCTGAGAAAATGCAATGTCATTGCCAAATATGGGTTATAGCTAATGGTGTGCTGGAGCTGGCTTGTCCTGGCTTGCAAAAGCTAATTGTTAAATGTTTGGAAATTTTGTGAGCCGGTTGAGAGTAGAAGAAAACTCCGACATCTAGTGGTGTGGCAGTGCCAATGGAGCCAGCAGAACCAACTGTGAAACATTTACCAGCACACTATTGGTTGTAGCTTATTAATAATGTGTTAAAGTGGCTTGAGCTGTGAACTACAGTTGGCAACCAGTGGTGTTCCATTTTCAGCTCCTGTGGTGTGTCTTTTAATAAGTCTTGCTTGGGAATTGGTCTGGCTCTGTTGATTTGTCTATTGATCTTGATAGTTGAGCAGTTCAAACCAGTGGTGAAATCCAATTTTTTTTTACTACCGGTTCTGTGGGCGTGGCTTGGTGGGCATGGTGTGGCTTGGTGGGCATGGCTTGGTGGGTGTGGCAGGGGAAGGATTCTGCAAAATGTCCATTCCCACCCCACTCTGGGGCCAGCCAGAGGTGGTATTTGCTGGTTCTCTGAACTACTCAAAATTTCCGCTACCGGTTCTCCAGAACTTGTCAGAACCTGCTGGATTTCACCCCTAGTTCAAACTCCTCAATACCTGGTTTAATCCTATCAGTTGAGTTTCTCAGTCAGGTAGATCAGAACAAATGTGGTTGTACACATAGTCCTTGCTTAATGACCACTCATTCAGCAACTATTGAAAGTTACGATGCCACTGAACAAGTGGTATTTATGACTGGTTCTCAAAGTTCTAGCTGTCCCAGCAGTCCTCGTGGTCACATGATCACAATCTGGCAACTGGTTCACACTTACGATGGTTGCGGCATCTCATGCTCATGGGAGTACCATTTATGACCTTCTCTGCTGACTTTCCACAAGCAAAACACTGGGAAAGCCAGCAAAAAAGGTAGATCACTGGCACTCTCCCCTACCTGGCAGCTGCCATTCCCAGCACCACTGTACTTGTGCCATGTTCCATGGGTCACCCTTGCACTCTGCGCATCTGGGTGGGTGGGCGGAACCTCCTGTCGCCGCCGCAATGGGTTCGCCCAATCCGGTGCGAACTGGTAGCAACCCACCACTGTCCTGCTTGTTGAAAAGATGTAATGTTCTATATTTTTCAATGGACTGAAGGAAAACTCACATAGCAACTTGTAGGCTTGCAATTTCAAAGTTTTTTCAATCTTAAAGAGGCAATAAAAAGGTAAAATCCAAAATGATTAAAAAGATGAGGTTTGGTCAATCCTTGACTCCACAAAAGGCTGAATATTTATGGCTCATGGCCCAATGGACTCTCAGCTGATTCTGTGTGCCACTCCTTCTCGAAATAGTGTGAGAATGAGGTTTTCGGAACCACTACAAGGATAAGGCTCTTGCCATTCTTCAAATAGCATACCCATTCTCATGAGACCTGGGAAAGACTAGCAGGTTTCTGAAGGATCATGAGAATGGGGCATGTGGCTTGAAAAGGAAGGCGGCACATGCAGTGGTGGGATTCAAATAATTTAACAACTGGTTCTCTGCCCTAATGACCAGCTGGGTAGACGTGGCTGGCTGGTCATGTGACTGGGTGGGCGTGGCCAACTTGACGTCACTCACGTCGAGGGGCGCTTTGCCTCACCTAGCTTCTCATGACCGTGGGGATGCTGCAACAGTCATGTGAAAAACAGTCATGGCATGCCAATGAAGTTGGGATGGTCCCGCTTAAGACAGTTGAAGCCCACTGGCAGCAGAGTTCCTTGGACTCTCTCAACCGGATTAATCTGGATTAATCCAGTTAAGAGATTAATAAATACGGAGCATCCTGGAGACACTCGGATGAAGTGGAAGGATAGGTAGAAGCAAAAACAGATGGCCTCATCTCTCCTACTCCTAATATGTAACTGTTACATATTCAGATTAGGGAGTGAAGCCAGTGAATAAAGGCTTCCCTCAGGTCCGCCACCAAGGCGGGAAAATAGTTTGTTCTTATTGGCTAAGCAGGCTGACAGCTCCCTATAAAAGGCAAGCTGTCAGCCAGGCTCTTTGCTGGGTTTTACTTGTTGTTAATAAAGAGCTTTTGCTGAAGATCACTGTCTGTCTCTTCCATCATGACCCCAATTTAAATGTAACTGTTGCCTTTTGTCCTCTTAGGAAATTTAGTTCACAATTTCTAAAACACTGGAGTACTGTAGTTGATAACCCTGAAGGAGTTTGGGGAAGTGGGATGAAGGGGAAGTGTTCCAGCTAAACTGAGACTGCCAGCCGTTTGAAGTCCTATCCTGAAAAGAAGTTGGACTGGTTTTTCTAAATGACTTCTTCCAACTGTAGGATTTTGTGATTAGGGAAATCAGAAAAATATGTACATTAAACATCAGTATAGACATCTTCACACAGACCCTCATCAGTTTCTTTTCCTACTTGGATGCAAATCATTTCTGCTTGTTATACTGCCAAATAATAACTTTATAAAAAAGCATGACAGCGCTTCAGAGGATGATACATAATTTGGCTTCAGCCACTGCCTAGTTACAAGCACCTGTTATTAAAAAGAATCATCATCATCTGATTTTTTTTTTTTTGTAAACTATCATGACATGAACATATGTGAGAAGCTCAGGCTTATGCATGTATGGTAATAGAAGATTTTATTTTCTAGGTGAAACATATGGTCCTCTTAAACCATGAGAAAGAAAGGAGAGCAGAGAAAGGAGATAAGTGTGTAGGTGGGCAAAGTTGGAGAGTGTTTTGAAAACATTCTAGGACTTTGACCGACCATGAATGACAAGCAAACAAGGGCTGAGAATCAAACGATGGAGAACGTGGGCTGCTGCCAAAGAAAGCATCATAGCATATGATTAATTTCTGCAACATATTTTGAAATATCAAAAGATAGAGAAAGATAGAGAAAGATAGAGAAATACATGGACACAAAGAGGAGGTGGCTAAAAAAGCCACTATTATTATACATACATAAATATTGCATATGGCAGGGGTGTCAAACTCAATTTCATTGAGGGCTGCATCAGGGTTGTGTTTGACCTCGGGAGACCAGGTGGGAGTGGCCAGGGTAGGCGTGGCCAGCTTGATGTCATTTGTGTCAGTGGCACCTGTGGGTGGCCTGAGCACTCTGCCACGGAAAACAGAGCTCAGGAGGGCCCCACACAGCCCTCCTGAGCTGTTTTCGCTGGCAGAGGGTTTCAGGAGGCCGTCGCAGCCAAAAACGGAGCTCGGGAGGCGAGCTCCATTTTTGCTGGCCAATATACCATGGGCCAGTCTTTGCTGTTTCCACGGTGGCCCTGCGGGCCAGATCTAAGCCCCCCGTGGGCCAGATTCAGCCCGTAGGCCTTGAGTTTGACACCTCTGGCATATGGAATTTGGCAGGCACAACTTGAGTCCCTCAAGTCAATTAAATCCCACTAATATTTAGAAAAAGACTTGCTAATAACAGAGGCAAGATAAGAGATACCCTGGTAACAAGATAACTGTTGCAGCAGATACAGTGATATATTTTACCTCAGGATGCTGTTCAATCTATAATTAATTTTCAGCTGTGATTTATTTTAAAATCTGCACAAAATATCAATGCCATTATATATTCATGAATAAATGTATTTTAGATATTTATTCCAAATACGCATTCCTAAATTACATCAAAATATGTACATTCTGAGGTTTAAAATGCATCTTTTTTTGGGGGGGGAACCCCAAACTGCTCTGGAACATATATGGAAAGAGTATTCTGATACAACTGATTACCATGTCTAACTTCATGTATTGGAACGTGTGGATGACCTTGGCAAAGGAGAAGAAGAAATGCTGCCTAGGAAACAATGAGACAAGAGAGGCAGGATGACAGTTTCCTAGGCAGCCTCTCTACCCCTCATTCCCAAAGCTCATCCACACATTGCATTACACATAAGCACATTTATGGTTTGGTGCATCCCAGAATTTGCACATCTCTGTGTACTTCAACCTGTTTAGGAATTGTTTTTCTATTGGAATTTGTTTATGTAGATGTATAACAGTAATAAACCATACTTTCCTAAATGTACTTCTGATATATATATTTTTAAAAAATACACAATTTGAGAAGAGTATTTCCCATTTATCTTGATAATCCATGTTTTATTGTTAAAATATTAAAATGCAAAGAAAATAAAAACAAGATAAAATCAACACTACTATACTTCTTTAAAAAGCATAGCTAAAAAAAGAAAAATTGCTTTTAGTGATACATTTTCCTCTTCCTTTACATTTGACTCAATTATTAGTCAGAATTTAAATATTTAAATTTTGCATCTACCATTACAGTTGTTAATTTCTATTTAAATCCTAAAAACCACACTTCAGATATTTAAATTTGCCTTGCTGTATGATACATTGTATATACTGTAAGGAAGTCATTCTTGCTTCAATTTGGTTAAACTTCTATGTGGATATATATACTGCCATCAATTTTCCACTACAACATAGTCTCCAACCTTAGTCTCCCAGATTGTTATAAAAGGCAAGCTAGCTCTTTTCTAATGTTGTGCTAAATTGAAAGCAAAAACACACTCATCTTGATTTTATAGATGCAGCAATTTATCATGCTACATTTCCTCCTTAAAATACACATTTCAAGAGTTTAGAGCTATTTAGCAATAAGAAGTCTGTGAATAATGGAGGGCTTTTCCTTTTTGTTGATTAGAAGTATTTGCTAGGTCTAACAAAATAAAGAAGCCACTAAAATTCAGGATGCGTGGATTTAATATTCTCCTTTTAAAAAATGTTCCCAGCTAATCTTCAGCAAATATTATTGGATGGATGAACAAAGCATGGCTAACAATTAAGAGTGGAGAGCTAAAGGCTGTGGATTCTTCATTTGCTTAGAATACTCTAAAACCAAGAATATTTTTTCCTCCTTTTCCACTGTTTATTTATTTATTTTATTATTCATATTTCTATGCCGCCCACTCTCCGAGGACTCTGAGCGGCTTACACCAAAGACAGTATACTAAATAGCATATTGCCCCCAACAATCTGGGTCCTCATTTTACCCACCTCAGAAGGATGGAAGGCTGACTCAATCTTGAGCCGGTGAGATTTGATCCGCTGAACTAGCAGTCAGCTGAAGTAGCTGCAGTACTGCACCCTAACCACTGTGCCACCTCAGCTCTATACCTTTCTCTACCTTTGTGTCTGTTTCTCTCCCAATGATTTTGAAAGACAGAGATGTGTAGGCCAAGCTTTCATATAGAATGCCACATTTCATAAATTTTATTTTCTGACCCTGATGCTGTCAGACAGCCAGGAAGACAAGCTTATATCCTATACTTATTATGAATTTTGCCAGATGGTGATACCAATATTAAGATTATAATTCCATGCACATATTTGGGAGTAACCTTCCTGGAATTCAGTGGGGCTTACTTTGGAGTAAACATGGACAACTTTGTTATAGGGACAATTTATGATGTGGATCTTCTGGATTAGTGTCAGCAGGAGGATAAAGAAAGGTAAAGTATCCCTGAAAGAAATGTTGAAGTTTGAACATGCTCACACAAAGGTAAAACAGCATTGCCCCTGATTTGCTGAGAATGTAATAAAAGAGGTGTATAAGTTTTTGGCATGGGGGATGGCGGTGGTGGTCCAATTTTCCTTTATTACTAGTGAGTGGGATCATCTTAAATGAAGAGACTTATGTTTTTTGGATAAATAGAGTAAAAGCCAATAACCACGATGCTGAAATTTATTCACACATCAGATTAACAGAGTTGGAAGGAACCTTGTAGGTCATCTAGTCCAACTCGGTCTTTCCTAGACCGAGATGCCCTTCGCACGGTCACTCATGCCCTGGTTACTTCTCGTTTGGATTACTGCAACTCCCTCTACATGGGGCTGCCCTTGTGGTGCACCCGGAGGCTCTAACTGGTCCAGAATGCAGCCGTGCGGGTGGTTACGGGAGCTCCCCGTTACTCCCGGGTAACATCTCTCCTACGCGAACTGCACTGGCTACCAGTGGTCCTCCGGATCTGCTTCAAGGTGCTGGTACTTGCCTTTAAAGCCCTACATGGCTTAGGTCCGGGGTATTTGCAGGACCATCTCCTACCCGCCTCTCACCGTCCTGTCCGCTCTCACAGGGCTGCCCTCCTCAGGGTACCGTCAGCCAGACAATGTCGGCTGGTGATGTCCAGAGGTAGAGCGTTCTCTGTAGGCGCCCCTGTCCTCTGGAACGAGTTACCCCCAAGCTTCGGACGGTGCCTGATCTCCGCTCCTTCCGTCGGGACTTAAAGACTTGGCTGTTCCAACAAATGGGTTGACCCTGATCCTTGAGTTTTATTATTTTGATTGTTGTTGTTTTAATCTGGGTTTTAATCACTTTACTTTTTATTATTGTATGTTTTTAACTTGTGTTCGCCGCCCTGAGTCCTTAGGGAGAAGGGCAGCATATACATTTTTGGTAAATAAATAAATAACCCGCCCCCATCCAAGCAGAAGACCCTACACCATTTCTGATAAACGGCAGTCCAATGTCTTCTTGAAAGTCTCAAGTGATGGAGCTCCAACAACTTCCGAAGGCAAGCTGTTCTATTGGTTGATTGTTCTCACTGTCAGAAAATTTCTCCTTATTTCTAGGTTAAATCTCTCCTTGTTCAGTTTCTGTCCATTATTCCTTGTCTGGCCTATAGGTGCTTTGGAAAATAGCTTGATCCCTTTATCTCTGTGGCAACCCCTCAAATATTGGAAGGCTACTATCATGTCTCCTCTGGTCCTTCTCTTCACTACACTAGCCATGTCCAATTCACGTAACCGTTCTTCATATGTTTTAATCTCCAGTCCCCTGATCATCCTGGTTGCTCTTCTCTGCACTTTTTCTAGAGTCTCAACATCTTTTTTATAGTGTAAAACTGGATCAAAACTGGATGCCAAAACTGGATGCAGTACTCTAGGTGTGGTCTTACTAAGGCTTTATAGAGTGGTATTAGTACCTCACTTGAACTTGATTGTATCCCTAATTATGCTATTCTTCAGCATAATTATTAGAATTTCAAAAATATTATCTTTCTTTGCAGTGGGGTGAAAAGCTGGGTACTTTCTAGATATATACATTTCAGCTCCCCAAATTCCTGGGCCAGCATGATATGCCAAATTCTGGAATCTGAAAGTCCAACATCTGGAGGAGGCCCACTTTGGGCAAAGCTGGGAGGCATCAATAAATGATACAAGCAATTTAGATCAAACAGTGATTTGAAATTAGGGAACTCTTCCCCAATAAGTGCATAGTTGTGATTTAGCAGAACTTTCAGATTCTTGTAATGCAAGAAAAATCAAGATCCAAGACTCCTTACATAGGGAGCAAGGGCTGTTTAACATATGGCTTCCCAGTTGTACATGTGTGGCAAGCTCAGGATTCTGATATATCATTTGATATAGCAAAGTACACAGTCTTAATATGAAGCTTAATTGTTACATTTATTACCATATTCAATGAGTTAAAGACTAGCACATTACTGTACATTAAACCATGCCCGGTTTTAGCCATATTGCATTAATCATAATGTCTTAGCTGTGGTTTGTTTAATAAGCCACAGTGGCTGAGTTTATATTAAGGCCTAAATGATAGCTTAGACACAATATCATATCTGGGTTAATAAATCGCACTAAACCACAACTAAACAAAGCACCTAGAAACTTAGCAATGTGTGTGAACCCTGCCTCATCCAGCTAAACATTCCCCGTTGAGGCTAAAGTATACTGCATTTGAGTGAATGGCAGATGAATGAAAGGCACATTGGACAATACACAAATGCCAGCTGCCTTAAAATACTGAAAGTACTTACGATACAACTCAGGATTAGATCGGATATGCTTTATTGCAGCCAAAGGCCAGTGGTACAACCCAGGATAAATCCTTTCTTCTCAGTAGACCATCAGCTATTAACACAAGGCACAGATGCTTACAAATAATAGATTGAAAGGGAACACTTTTAGACTACGATTGTATGAGTGGACTGGGGGGAGGGTGTCATATTTTTAAAGATATCCCAAGAAAAATACTCTTGGTTACTCCAAATCTTTCTGATGTGCTTGCCTGCCATACAGAGCAAATTCTTCCAGAACTGTGGTAGCCTGACCTGAAAATAACTATAGCCTGAAATCTCACCATCCAGAAGCTTTTCATCATATGCTCTGAATTATGTGTAGGCAAAGTTGAGGCTTTTATTTTGAAAAATGTATCGGGGCCTGATTTTTCTCTTGCATTTCAAGAAATAACCCAGCTGGAGGGAAGGCAGAGCAGAAAGATCAATATAAATCTTCACATTCTTATCTGCATAATGAATGCATTCCATGGAAATGAAGCCAAAGGCTCACAAAGCTGTAGAACAAGTTGGAGAGTTGGGGGAAAAATGAAGTCATTAGACCTCACCAGACAAAAGGCCTACCCTCTAGAAGTGTGTGTGTGTGTGGGGGGGGGGAACCTGGGCTTAACTAGATTGTTTTAGTTAGGGAGAAAAGAATGTGACAAAGAAGACTTAATAAGATTTTATGGTTGAGGATTGCACGCACATTTGGAGTTAACAAAGAACCTCACTGCTGTTATAATCCTCTGCAGAAAAGCTGAGGGCTGGGAGTGCAACATCTGGAATGCCATGAGCTGTTTATCCTGTTCTACCTCCTCTAAAACATGTGTTTCCCTCCCACCAATCTCACACAAAGAAACATGTTGGCTAGTCATGTCTTTATTTGTGTAGCTTTGGGTCTTAGGGGAAAGAATCCTCTTTAAGGCTTGCTAGGAAACAGGGAGGCTAGAAGAGATGTACTGTGTTTATCCGATTTATATCCATCCTTTCTTCTTGGATTTAAGATCATTTTTTCCCACATTAATAATTTGGTAAGGTAGTTTGGGTTAAGACAGATATTCTCTCTCTCTCTCTCTCTCTCTCTCTCTCTCTCTCTCTCTCTCTCTCTCTTTTTTTTTGCTCATGGCCTCCTTCTCAGCTGGCAAAGTACCTTTTCTTCCAGCTAACAATAACTATGAGGGATGTCACAGAGGTACTATATTTTTCA